ACAGATTTTGAGGAGGAGGGGTTGGGAAGAAACCAACTGCTGCCATTTCAGCACTGCCATTCTTAAATGTTCAGAAATTGGTTTGGAAGTGAGGCCTCAAAAACAGCACAAGATGGCCTTTCAAATCACAAGATTTAAGAGCCACTGGGTTTTTATTTTCATTCTATTGTCCTGGTCTTCAGCGCACATGCAGGTGATGTTTTCAGGTTTTTCTCCACAATTATGAAGGCCGACCCATTTTAAATAAAGAGTCAGGATTTCTTGAAATCACAGAACTCCAGCATTTAAGCCTTAAAATATCAAATATCACAAGTCCCACCACAGAAATAATGAGAGTTGGCAACATAGCTTAGAGAGTGGGAGTATGGGTCCAAAACTGGGCATACGAAGAAGCTGTTATTGTAGAAACAGAGCTTTCGCTCACACTAGTGAGCTATTACATGAATCTCCACATTGACTTGACTGGGATTGTTTGTGAAGTCACTGGTCACCAATCCAAGTAAGAGATTGTACACAATTTTGGCTGACATTACAATTTCTCCTGGGCATAGTGCTTTCATATTTACAGGCAACTAAACTAATTTCTGTGGGAAACATGTTAGCTTTCTGTGGCTCAGCTATGGCATGCTATTCAATATATTTCAGCTATTAGAATAGTTGTTACTGTTCAGAAAGGGTAGATTGTTGCCAATGAACTTGTGTTGGAGGAATTTAATCAAGCGGCTTGAAGGCTGTATTGTTTTAGTTCTGGAAAATTGCCAGCAAACAGAGAGTTACTTCCCAGAAATCACGGCTGTAGACTTTCAAGGCAGAGTCACAAAATGGTATGGCACATATTTTACAATATGCCACAGTCACTGTAGGAAAATCCCCAACCTGGTTTAGATTATGGTATACAAGAATTTTTATTTCTTGTAAATCATGCCTGTTCTATGCATTTTCAGTCTCAAATCATCCCATTTTGCCTTCCCTGTGTCGTGATAAGTCTCAGATACCAGGAAGTGATATTATTTAATATTGCATTGCAGTCAGTGCTTGAGGGGGCAAAAAATAGAACACAGCAGTCTGCTTCCACTCAGCATTGCACCTTTTCCCCTCCAAATCTCCCCCTTTCTTTCTCTGGTAGTAGTCAGAAGAAAAAACAGTCACATTTAACCTTCTTCCCCTGATCCAAGCACAGACACTAGTGTAAATTCAGGCTCTGATCCTGCACCTGCATCTATATGCATGTATTTAAGCACAAAAGCAGAACCATCAGCTACTATGGAACTACATTTGTGTGTGTCAAGTTAACGATGAATGTGGTTAGAGGATCAAGGCTTGGATTATTTGTATAGGGTCTGAGTTCCAGAAATGCTGCATGCCCACAGCTCCAATTATAGTCCATGACAGCAGTATTTGCACAGGAGCTCTGAAAAAAAAAACCCAATGAGTTATAAGGCCTGATTCGCCTTTGTTTTGCACCCTGTGTTGCCAAACCATGTGGAAAGGTAGTTAAAGTCTTGTGCGGGCCCTCATCTTCTGCACTTGAATATTTGCTCTTGAACCAAATCTAGTTTGTTAAGTTTTAGCTGCTGTGCAAGCTGTTCACCTGTGCAAGCGGAGAGCAACGTGGGCATGTGTGTTCAATAGTAGGGAGGTTCGACTTTTCTGGACATCCCAACCATTCAGTTAATTAAATTGCCTGTAAGGATTAAAACCATAGACCGTGGATCCTAGAGAGTCTCCAGGGATGCTAGGGAAGCCGGAAATGTTGGCAAGAAGCCAGGAGAGCCAATGAAAACAGAGTGTGGGGTTTTGAATTGGAAGGAGTGATTTTCCCGTGGTAGTCTTTGTGTGACCAGATATGAGTTAAGCCAGGAAAACAGGCATGGAGGATTCAGCGACATCCATGACTAAGGAAGGACTAAACCTTGGAACAACAGGGATGTAAGGAGAACAGGGAATGTCTAATCAGGCACAATCAGATTATTTTCTTGGGTTTGTTGGACTTCTCTGTGCTGAGCCCATGTTACCCTCCCTTACACTGTAGCTTTTAAACCAAATCCCAGGGAATCAATTCTCTGTGTTTTAATATTTTTCTTTTTTTAGTTGCACCAGAATACCTAGCAACCAAGTAAGGTTTTATCAAGTACGTCTTCTTTATTTAGTTAATAACAATCACCTTTTTAAGACCATAATCTAATTTCTGTGTCTTAAAAGACAGGGAGTTCTGTGTGCAAATGCCCCAAACTGCAAGATCAGCTATTAAGAAACTTATAGGGGGATTTTTAAGCTCTCTCCAGAGGGAGGGTTAAAGAGACCCCACAGGGAGAAATTTCCAAATGCATCTGCCCAGACTCTCAAAGGGGTTTTTGCATTTGGGTGGTGGTAACTTACCATCCAAGGTCAGGAAATCTGTGACCTTGGGGAGTTTTTTAAACAGAAGCCTTTAGTGGCAGGGTAGTTAAAGTCTTGTGAGGGCCCCCATCTTCTGCACTTGAATATTTGCTCTTGAATCAAATCTAGTTTAAGTTTTAGCTGCTAGAACTCATTTAATCTTTATTTCCCTTGTAAGCATTTCTGACTTTAACGCCTTGTACTTGTATTCATTTATAATCTCTTTATTAAATAATCTTATTTTATTCTTTAAGCAGACTAATCCATTGCTGCATTCAAACAGAATTGTCTGGGTAACTCCTTTTAAAGTAGAAAACTGTTGGATATTATTCCCTTACAGGGGCAACCGGACCTAAAATATCCAAATTGTCCAGGAAAAGGCTGCCCAGTGCAGAACACACATTTGGTCAAATCCAAATTAGTTTTTGTAAACAGCCAAATATTTATAGAATATTTTTGCAATTCTTCCCATTCTATTATATAGACACTGATCTAAAGCTAGTGATGAAAGTAACTTAAAATTTCTTATCGGTACTGTCCTATTGCAACG